AAAAAAAAAAAAAAAAACTAGTGGCATGCACCGCACACACACACACACACACACACACACACACCAGCCACGCAATACAAGTTAACACAGCACAAACATAAATACACAATCTTTCACAATGCAGGCCCTATTTACACTTACAGAAAGAAATGAATTCAGTAGCCCACAAGATAATACTATAGCCTATACTGCCAAGCACTCAATGCACTGTCAATCTCCACAGAGCACTGCCAAGCAATGTAGACACACTGTAAAAAATGTTCATCACTTTTGTGGGTGCGAGCTAATGCAGTAGTTTAGACTTACGATGCATAGTTGTGACATTTTTAAATACTCAGTCGGGAGAATCATAAATGTTAACTGAACTACAGATAGTAGCAGATAATAAAATAACACAACTACAGCGGGACTTTATTACTGCATTTATTAAATTGCAAATTAAGTTGAACTGATGTTTAAGTGTATTTGTAGGTTTGCTGTACTGATGCAACTGTACAGTTTTATTATAAAAAGTACCTCTTAAAATTGACAATTTATAGTTGTACGTGCATTAATACTGGGTTGGTTTTAGGATGAAAGAACAGATCGCAACATAAACATTTATTTATTAATCAGGCATTTCAATCTGGTTAATTGATTTTGAAGAAGATTTCACAACTGTTTTTGAAACTCTACAAGACAGAGCCTAGCACAAACGTAATGCTCCACATTTGGTTGAGTGTTCTCATTTCATGTTATTAAATTTACTGGAGTCCATCTACCCAGAGGTCTGCAGTTAAATTAACAGTCAAAAATGTTACCCACCAATAATAAATTATCTGCTTATTCTTTTACTGAGACGTGGCTGAAGTCAGTGGAGTCAAATTGACTTGGATGTTGTAGTTATTTATTGTTTTGTTTTCATTCTCTAAAAAAAATAATTTTAATTGACCTAAAAAAAAAAATCCAATAATTATTTTTATTTTATAAGTTGATGTGATTAATATTTTTTCACAGTGTACGGTTGTGTCTACGACCCTTCATATAGGGAAGAAGACCTTACTTACTGCCATTCTTCTTCAAGCTTGCAGTCCCAAAACAACGTACTGTTATCATGAATGTATTCTGTGTAAAGAAATACACTCAAACACTCTCTCTTGCTTGCTCAATCACTTAAACTGCCATGCAGACACAGGAACAGACACCCACACGCACTTACACACAGATATACACACACCTCGACAACCAAAGTGCTCTCTCTTAAATGGACTTCAATAAGAGGCAGGGAACGCTGCTGTCACTGGGGACAAAAGATAGCAGGAGGCGTTGCAGATATCTTGACAATATTTCTGAGGGAATAACTGTGAAAATCTGGGCATGGACTTGTTACAGTGCTGTACATGGACTGCTCTTCACTGCTTTAAAACAGATCATGGTGGACTACGGATGAACACAAGGGAACACAAATAAACCTTATAAAGGATAAATGGCCATGAAGGAGCAGCTGTTTATGAAATAAATAAAACATAGAAAGCGAGACTTAAGGTATATCTGAGAGTATTTATAATGGTGATGGGAAAAGAGACAAGCCTACCCTTGCATTGGAGACAATATGAAAACTGTCTTATAGCGACACGCTGTGGCCGGAATACTGAATTACATACGCTTGGAATATTGTATAGTATGCTGTTAACGAAATCTAGCTTTGTATTGCTTAGTCTTTTCTACCATTATGATTAAACGCAGTTATAGCTGATATCTAATATTACTAAACTATAGTATTCTTCTCATTCGTCATGACAATTATGATATATGTATTAACAATACGTTAAATAATTATGAACAAGGAAAGTGCCGTTTGAGGTTGAAATTATTTTGTAATTTTATTTTATCAGAGAGAATTAATAAAGTATATATCTCTAACATTATAGCTTCCATGTTTTTCTGTGTCGCTGTTTTCATTTGATTTTTGTTTTATTTTTATTCTTGGTGTGACGGGGATTATTGTGCGGCGCTTCAGAAGAATTAAACACTCCATATTGAGCTTCACAGTTTAGATATCCTTCATCCAGGGTAATCAATTTCCCCCTAATGCGACACAACAATAAGCAAAATGTTTGTTTCATTTTGTGCGTCTCACACCGAATTGTTAATTAACATTTGCACATTACATAATGTAACAAACTAATTTTAGAGTTGCTCCAGGCTATTTGATTATTTTGTCCGTCAATGATGGGCCTATTTTCATATCTCTCTCACTGTGAAACGATTATCTCTCTCTTACTGTGGCCAATATCATTTATAATTTGTGACGAAACGCTGAAGAGAGCCCCCGTTTTTTCTCGATGTGATGGATATTTACGTTTTTGGGTTGTCATGGTTTCCATAGTTGCCAGGTTACCTGGACAGCTACTTGCTACTGTTGCTAAGTTACCGACGTTAGCAGTATCTCTGACTTTAGCTACCCTACCTGTAGCTATTATTCAAGTGAGTCGGTTGTCTTTTTTAAAAATACGATTTAAATAAGATAATTGTCTTTTTAATCTTGTGTGTAATTTTACCTGATAAATGTTGGGGGTTTTTAAAAGTAGCTAAGTTAGTTAACTCTTAACCCATTAGAAAACTTGGCTACAACAAGGTAACCCTGAACCAAACTCTTTTGCTTCTTTGAGCATGAACGTTAATCAACAAATGGAAGTTGGGATTAATGACTTTTGAATGTGTGTAAACCTAGTTTTAGTCAAAGTAATGGAAAAATTAAAGAAGCTGCACTTGCTGGTGTGTCTGTCTCTGTGCTTGTGTTAATCCATTTGTGTAACTTCAGGAAATCATCCAGACCTGACACTGAGTCTGTGTCCAGCCTCTGTCTATGTCCAAGCCCTCTCTCTGTTCATCAGTCCTCTACCTGAGGCCAGTTTGTGCTCCATCAGTCTCTGCTATACTGGCACCAATCACCACCAACATGAGCATGGGGCTCTGGTGAGGGGGAAGTGGAGACATGTGGATGCTCAGTGAGTATGCCTGTGTCTGGTTTTACCTTTGTCACATCTGGAGGACCAATTTCACATTTTAATCTGACTAATTAGGGACGGCTGTCTAAGCAGGGATACAAGTGGCGTCCTCTGTTTGTTTTGCATTTGCATTCAGCACAAGCAAAAATGATTTGAGTTTTAATTGAAATTAAGTTACAGTTGTATCGTGGATGCATTGGATATGATTAAGTTTGCAATAAACCTGCAACCTTTACCTGACGTGTGAGTCAATGCAACAACAGTGAATATAAAGTACAATAATGCAGTAATGACTCTGTGCTAGTGCATATAATTAGTACTAATCTGCTTATGGCAAAAATTAGAAAAAAAGAGGGCGGGGAGCCATTTTGTGCTACAGAACTGATTTTCATTTAGGTCCTTGTTAACTGATTATGTCTGAAAAGCCTGTGGTAACAACCTTTTAGGTCACTTATTCAGTCATCCTGCAAGATTGTCCTATTTTCCATTTTTATGTAATTCAAATTGTGGTTGGGAGTGTTTGTTGCAGCTGGAGATGCATTTTACAACAGAAGATTGTTTGTTTTAGGATTTGCATGTTTGTCAGACGTCCTCATACTAATTGGGTGTAATCCTTTGTTAGGTTTATAATCTTACCAAAGCAGGCCTAGCAAAGTAAGTGTGAGTGAGGAATAAAGTTTTAGCTGTGAAAAAGGTTCACAATAGGCAGGGGGAAGTAAGCTTTCTCTCATCTTTCTCTCTTTTGTCTTTACTTTTTATTTGTTCATTTAAACAATTTTTCCCTTTCACACACGTCTGGTGTTTGTAAATAGAATAGACATTGTGGAGTTTTGAAGCTGTTATCATTACAGTACAAGGTTTTCAAACACTGGTGACTACCAGTGGGAAACCTATTATCAGAGCAGTGAAGATACCACAGTTGAGAATAGTCTGAAAAAGGACCACACACTCAGTATCTGTTATTTGTAATATCACATTATTTATGCACGGATTGTCAGAATGTGCCAAACTAAAAAGACATTTATATAACTGCTCACTGGCCATACCTCAGGGTGTGAGGTAATGAGTCACATTCAATAATTTGACATCATAACAACAACTTGTTATATGTTAAGTACCTTATTTAGGTCTTCTTACTCATTGATGATAGTTGAGTCAAAGCTATTTAAATTAAACACCAGCGCTCGTTCCAAAGGTGAGCGTACACTAATCTTCTCGGGACTAATCATGTGTAAGTAAATGTACTCGAAGGCGGTCACAGCATTCACACAATTTTCCTGAACAGAGGAAATTGATTTTAATTTTTTTCATGAAACAGGAATCATGGTCCATTGTGTGTCTAGCCCAGGGTGAAAATAAAACAGAGTAACAGAGGTGTGGAAACCAGGCAGCCTGAGGCGCTGCTATGCCCGGGGCACAGCACGTACCCAGATGTGATGAGCTTGTTATCTGTATTATTTACTGGCGGGCTCTTCTGCTCCCTGGGCGTTCATAATCTCTCTCAGGCTATGTCCATTGTCATGATTGTGCTCTATAATTTTAAGGCCAGGGTAATGTCCATAGCCTAGTTTTTTTAACACTCTCATTTGCTTCTCTCTCTCTCTCTTTCTCCACCTGTTTCTCAGTCTCTCCATTTTCGAGGAAACCAATTTAGTCTTTCAGGATTGCAGTTTGAGCCAAGGATAGCAAAGGACCCACAGAAAATGGAAATATGTTTTTACTCATATTCAGGCTACACTCAGCCAAAACAATGACAATAATATGACTGCAAGAACATTTCATTACTCAAGAACATTTTACGAAAAAAGAAGAAAAAATGGCCAAGATGTAACACCAGAAAGAACACATTTTAATTGATATAAATAAGATGCATTAGTAGAATGATCAAACCCCACATTGTCACAGGTTTTAAGCCATTTCTTATAATACACAATACTTTATATTATAGCTGACCGCTTTCCAAAGTCAAGTGTGTGTGCTTTAAAGGGTTAGTTGTGTTCTAAGGTGTAAATGCAGTCAATCTCTAAATACTTTCTTTTCCTTATTTGGCTTTTCAAACTCTCCTTCTCTCTGCCCAGATGTGAGCCTTGGTTTATAGGTCACCAGTTACTTGTAGAGCAACAACTCCCAGACAACAATAATGATGTCATGATTGTGTGAGCCTCACTGACAGCTGTCTAGACAAGATGTGTTACACTGTTTCACACCCCAGTATCCATCCTAGTGCTCAGCCATCATGAAACTTGCTCTTTTCTGTACTATAGGGATTCTCGCGACCTACTGCAAAGATAAGGAATGCATCCTTTTTGGCAAAGAGTTGACCCGTCATTCCAACTTTATTAAGATTGCTTAAAATAATTTCAATTCTAACCGCCATTCTTTTCTCTAAAATTAAATTACAGTTTTTGCTCTTTTTTGTGCCCCTGAGGACAGTTTTACTATATAAGAAATAAATAGCTTACATACCCAAAAGCATACAACAACACAAAAGTGTATTTTCCTCATTTATCTTTTTCTCCAGGTTTGGTTGATTCCCCTGAACTCCATGTGCCCTTCTGTTGCTGTCTACATGGTGGAGCCCAGCTGCCTCATTACGCTTAAAAGCAGAGACCTTACCTCACACTCCTGTATTGGCGAGGATGGCTCGTGTGTTTCTGTGCATGTGTGTGCTCACCTTGCTTTGTCAGTGGAAGAGGAGGCAGAAATATGGATGCCAGAGGTTGGCCACCATTATCACCTGCCTGTACTGGTCCACGATCATGTGGTACACCTGTCAACTATAATGTAATCATCATAACAACCGGCCCAAATGTCACCAGGTTCTGTCAGCGGGAGGCTGTTCCCATCGCAACAGGATCTTTTATCTCTAACTCCTCTTTGTGCTGACAGTAGAAATGAGTGGTGAACTGGAAGCTTCTATCAACAAAACCCATTATGTTGTGGACATATGTAGCTCTTCCGCATTGTTGCAGACATAACACAGGAGCAAGGACTCACACGCACACAAACACACACTATTACTTTCTCTCCCATCCTTTTCATGGCAGTAAAACCCTTCTGATGACTCCACCAGACTAGTCACAGTTCACCAGGAAGTGGAGATCTATGAACCCTCCATTCTGTTGCCTGATGTCCTGGTGTTTCCCTGGCAACCAGAGGGTCAGACCTACCAGCACATACAGGTCTGTGTGTGTGTGTGTGTGTGCATTTGGGTTTTTATGGTAAGAGGGATTGGAGACAGTATTGAATTCATAAAGATTGGATTTGTTGTGCGCTTGTGTCTGTGTGTGCACATGCTGAGCAGGAAGAGCGGGTCAGAGAGTGACAGTGATATTTGCAGTGGTGATGATGAAAGGAGACATAACAGTGGGAAGGAGACTGAATATACATAACTCTCTACACACTACCATAGGATAGGTTAATGCACACACAATCATACAATAACAAAATGAAGATTCATACAAACTAAAACAAAATATTCAGTCAACTCTTGCGTCCTGTCTACCTTTCTCCGTCCCCTTAGTCTCCGACAGTCCCCGACAGTCCCCATCTGTCAACCAGATGTCCTCAGAAGTTCCCCCGCCCAGTGCCAGTCACCTGATCCTGCTCCTCCCTCCACACCTGTTTCTCAGTCAGTCCCTGAGTACCAGCCATGTTTACAGTTGTGTTATAGCCATATCTGCCTGCCTGCTCCTTGTTCTGCCTGTGTTCAGTAGTCTCTTTGGACTGCCCTTATGTTGCCAAACTGTAAGCTTCTTTATTGAACCTAGTTTTAAACAAAGTGCCTTTAATTCAACCTGCTCTGCCTTTGTGTTTCCAGAAAGAGGACCTAACTGCATCCTCCTCTTCCTCATCAATCTTCTTTCCTGTACATGAACAATGATTTTTCCCTCTTTCACCTCTCAGTTATATATCTTTTTTCTCTTCTCTCGTCTGTCTGGATATATGAGTTGAGTCCAGGTCATGTTGTGTTCTTACACAAGCGAGGAAACTGTATAGGGAGAACATCATGCTGCCCAGTTTACAAACGTCCAGGGCGAGGCCTTCTCCGTCAGTCAGTATGACTTCTGAGGTCTCTCTTTTTTTATAAAGAGCCCATTGGAGGCCACAGACTGCTTCCTGATAGATTTTCATATCAGCATTAGGCCTCCAGGGGTAATTATAGTCCAAATTGTTATAATGTCCATATTTATTTTAACATTACTCAGAAACCTGTAAGGTGGTGATTTAAATGATAAACTGAAACCCACTACATTTTTAGCTTAATATGTAAACAGTATTTTGTTAATACCAGGTTAACATTTGTCATTAGTGGAATTCAGTGTCCAATTCACTGTCCAAACCTACCACAACATTTTGTTTTTGTAGTTTTATCGGGCTGAGTCAGTGCTTGTCTTGCATCTCCACATCTTACAGTACAGCACTTTTCTGTACCTCAGCACATTAGCATCTTGCATTAGTAATACAGCGTGTGTGTGTGTGTGTGTGTGTGAGCATGCACGTGTGTTTGTGAGTGGGTGGCTGGTCTTCAGCTCTGCTCCGCTTGGCCCAAGTAAGTCAAAGAGTTGTGGAAGCGCATAACTATCCCTGACTTACTTACTGCCAACTCTTCCTTTCATAGACACCTACGTAGACATTTTCATTTAATGGGGCTGTATGCACGCAATAAATGGCTCAGAAGGTTATGGCAATATGTTTTCTCCCCTTTCTGTTCAATTAACTTTTCTCATGCTAAGTCCATTAGAGACTTGATTGGATTAGTTGGTTCTCTAACACATACACAATCATGGAAGTAATGTTGACATTCCATTAGCGATAAAATTATTAATGCATGAGTTTGTTAGTATAACAGATCAGATTACAGGCTCTTAAAAGTCTACCTGAACCCTTCACACTTTAGTGGGCAGTCAGCTTCCTGGGCATTACAATCTAACACACCCTCACTGTACTGCAGTCCTTTAACCTTTTTAAATCCATAAATGTTTTATGTAGTTTCCTAAGAAGGTTGGCCAGCACCCAAACAGGAATATACACAGTAAAGTGGTCCATACATATTGTACATTTTCGACTAGGCAGTTTAACAAAAGAGGATGATCATTCTTAGAAAGAACTGACGTAGTTGGTAAAGTGCCACTCGTATGCTCTCTAGGGAGTTGGCTCCTGTACAAGAGTAAATTCATTCTCCTTTTTTTCTTTTTTTTCCATAATACATGGAAGATTTTTTAAAGCTTGTTGATCATGGTTTCAGGTTGCTGTGCAGGTAGAAGCAGCGAGCCCATGACATACCCCCATCACCATCACCACAGAAGCAAACCGGTACAATATTAGCTCCATGGCAACACTGGCCGCCCACACTCTCTTCTGGCTGCGTGTAGGGGACATGCCTGTATATGTGTGTGAGAGAGAGAGAGAAGGAGTAAGAGAGCAGAGGTTGTTAATTGACCTATTTTTCAGACTGTTAAGTTGAATCGGGATGAGGGGAGAGACGATGGGGTTTTTAATGATGCCGCAGGGGAGATGTGCTTTGCTTCCCCGCCGACAGGACTTCAACTGTTGCCACCTCCACTGACATAACTCTGCTACCTGTAACTCCTCTGCATACTATACTCACAGCCAGGGCCCAGTGCCACTTATATGTCTAATTCCCAGTTCACTCTTTCTTTTTCTCTCTAAATGTGTGGCTTTTCTTCTCTCTTTCTTTCTAGGTTTTTTGAGGCAGTGCTCTCCATCAGAGTGGCACACCTCATTGTTCAAGAGGAAGTTCTCAAGTCGTGGCCCTTTGGCCTCTTGGAGGAGGATGTGGACAGGCTGAAGGTGGGGGCAGTCGGCCAATTAGAACCAAAGAACAGACAACAGCATGCCAGCGATGTTACTTGCAGCATACAGGTAGGACTCTGGTATTTTGTCAAGTGAGATATTTTTAGCATCTTAGCCTGGCTCTAGAGTTGTCTCTTGACATCAGTACTCTGGGCGCATTATTATATTAACTTTGTGCATGCGTGCCTGTTTAGTGGCTGGTGTTTGTCAGTATTAAAACTCCAGGCCCCTAACTATCAGCCATCAAAAGAGGAGAAGAGGCTAAAAGTGGGCTGTATCTCCCCTGCTTCTTTGTCTTTGTGCCCCCCCTCCTCCTCCTTCTCCTCTATCCTCCATCCAAACTCTGCCTTCAGTCCCAGTGCCCAACAAGCACAGCAAGTTTCTTCGTTCAGTTTTATTTCCTCTGCTCTTTTCCTCCTTGCCTCCCTGCTGCTAGCTCTATACCTTCTGCTTATCACACTTGTGCACTCATAGACAGATGCTGAGAAGTGGGTGCACAGGTGCACACACACACACACACACACACACACACACACACACAGAGGATTACATTTTAATTTTATATTCATTTGAACTCTGCTGTTACCTGCCCTCCCCTCCCTCCAACTCCTTCCATACCTCCCCAGTTACTTCTACTGAAAAGTGATGTTGGTTTCCATAGCAACGCCTGTGTCTGTATCAGACAGGAGTTTCCTTACACAGACTAGAAAGGATGCCGAGCAAGGGGAGACACAAAAACACACGCTCACATGCATGCATTTGTGAAACCGTTGATTAGCAATCAGTGTGTACTTCACACTGACTGTTTATTTTTAATGAGTTCAGAGAAAGCTGTTGATTGGGTGATTCCGACAGGAATAGGCTTGAGTATATTACAAATTGGACATTCAAGTCAAATTGATTTTGCAGGACCTGATGTAATATGAAAAAAAATTATGAATCCCTAAACATTTCATTATTTTTTCATTTCATACTGCACCGAAGCTGAAGTGCCACCAGTGACAGCAGTGATTGTTGTGGGTTACAATTACTTTTGTGGGGATTTACTGTACTACTACAATTTTTGTTACATAAACAAGAATGGTGTTCGGTTTTTCTGCATTTCTATGGGAGTGTTTATGTTCACTGACATGTTTTTGCATCCGTCTCTATGTGCTGCTGTGGTGCTCGCTCACTTTTCAGAGGAATGTAGGTCAGTTGGACAGGAGACTGTAAATTGCCTATTGCGAGTGTGTTTGTGTGTTCCATACCTTTCCTCAAATGCATGCACAGATAGATCCTAGATCACTATGAACCCTGAGTAGGTATGAATGGGTAAAGGCAATGGGCGAACAAAATGAATGGATAAATGAAGTACAGAGACAAATTTGAACTTTTGTCTCTGTACTGTAGCACAGCAGGGTGTTCAGTTAAATCATTTTAATATTCGTCAGTCAAGTATTGTCTGTGTACTTCTGAAACACACTCTTTATAAACGATTGCTCAAATACAGAGTGTATTTACTTGTTTTGTCAGTAACCAGTTGTATATGTATGAGTTCACTAATCAAATGCATTTTTCTGACTGCAGAACTTTTCTGACAGGGGAAATAATCCATTTGTGCAAACACACTGTGTAACAACTTGGCTAACCAAAACAACTGAGTGGCATCTGCCTAGTGATTATATATTTACATTTTCTGAGCCTTTCTCCCATGCAAACTATTGACAGCAGTCCCAACACATTATCTGCCTCCTCCATTAGAAGCTAGGCTGCAATTAGCCAACACAAAGCAGTGTGCTCAAACATTCTCAGTAGGTTGAAACAGCCTGTGTTTACATCTTCTCTCCGCCACCCTGTTTTTCTCCCTCCAACTCATGTCCCTCTATCACTCTACTCGCTGCTTTGCTAAATGATCTGAGCAAATATTTTTGTACTTTTGTATTTTTACCACAGAAAAGAGCCACACTAGAAAGAATTTATCCCTATGCCCAGCCTTACGTTCTCCCCAGTTTCATTAGGGTGTGGAGCTGTAGATAACAGGGTTTGACCAGAAGGGGGTGCAGTTTGACAACCTCACTTATCCCTCAATGACTCCTCAAACTCCTCTTCATCTCCCTAAATGTTCTTTCACACATGGTGCTGGCAGACACACTCTATCACCTATTTAAGCTACATGGTCAGAATAATTAATGCAGGAAATTATCACCAACACAGGAATGATTAATTTCAAGCTGCGACAAACGGACATGACGGATTGTTTTTACCAGGTCGCCAGGCTTTTAATACTCACGGCCATTCAGGGATAGCATCCATCACAGTGACCCTCACTCCTGCAGAGAGGCGTGTGTAGTGTGTGTGTTCCTGTCTGTTTCTATGAACGCGCATGGGAGCTTGTGCACACACACGTGTATGTGCATGAATGTGTGCATGTGCATGGCACAGATGTCTGTCTTGGTGTGTGTGTAAGCATATGTTTACTAATTTATCAACTTTGTGACTGGGGGGCACAGGGGCCACAATTCCTACTGCTTCTGTGAGATGGTGAAAGATATGCAGCAAAGCAGACCCATCCTAAACCCTACCTGATGTAACCCATGAGGGACACACACTTGAACTCACATTTCATTGTATTTATCTCTTTTTACCTTGACACAGTAGTAGTAAAACCTGTCCAGGCAAAATCTTTCTTTTTCGGCTCTTTCCTTCAGTGTCTGTCCACAATGTGGCTTTAATATGTCAGTTTAAAAGAAAGATTCCTGTTGCAGTAAGACACTGTTTACCACAGTTTAGGGTAAACAGGATCCTGTTAAACATCAATGACAGTTAGGATAATTGGGAGTGGGGAAAATGGCGAAATAATGTAAATGGCCTGCTTATTACGCTACAGATCAACCAGAGTCCTCAAAGCCATTACAAATACAATAAGCAATTAAACTGAGAGCGTGCTGCAAACTGTGTTTTTGCAATCCAATTACTACCTGAATTGTATTGAGTTTATTTTTTTTAATCCAATGTTCAGTTTTTTAGTCTTCAGACTGAATAGATTCTTTGTGTTTGGCTGTGTGTGGGTGTGTATGTCTTTGTGTTGTGTAGTCAAGAGAGGAGTGAGTTAGAAGACTCTTTGAATCAGAATAGGTTTTATATCAATAAGTGTCTGCTTAAGTGTCCATGACACTCACTCTCTACCTGTACCTGTGGAGAGGCTTAAAACAGAAAAAAAGGATTTAACAAATTCTAGCAGTGGAAAATAAATTTTACCCAGAAATCTTGTTTACCAGAGCTGCCATCTGCCCTGTGCACCACGCTCTGTGTCAATGTGTGACAGGCCACGTCTTGTCACCATGGACTCCCAGGGGATTGTGACAAGTGGCCCAGACACTAGCTCTGCTCTGCTGGAGGTCGTTGCCATGGAGACATGTGGGGTCAACCAGACTCTGCTCGTCAGTGTTCAGGTCAGTTAATTGTGCACTGGATGCTAATGATGTGTAATGGCTCTGTCCTTGGCAAAGGAGAAACTCAAATAAACAAAATTGTACGTGTGTGTGTGTGTGTGTGTTGAACTCCAGGTCTCTTTTTTTCAGGGTTTCATTTCTGTACAGAGTGGGAGGGACAGGTCAGCCTGTCTTTCCTTTGTCATAGGGTGCTCTTCTGTGACAACCTTCTACAATTACAGTTACACACACACACACTCTTTCTCACCCCACACCCTCTCCTGTATACGCTTGTAATCTCTTCAGTTTCTGGTTCTTTTTCTCTCAGTCTTTCTCCCCAATCCTCTTTCATATCACTTTTTCATTCTACAACTTTCATTTTGCCGAATTCAAAGCTGGGACGAGAATGCAAACTGCTCCGATCAATACAGTAAAAACTCATCTGGCCATGTCTCTGAATGATTTTTCTGCCCTTCGCTATCGATCTTCTGGTCCCATCCTCCACTCTGCCTCCCAGTCAGTCATAACCTGGCACAGATGACTTCAGAATTTGACAGCCATTTTATTTTGTATATGTGTCCAGACTTTGCAGGACAAAAGAGTTTTAGCATTGACAATGGATCCCACCAACACCTCCCTCGGTGACTACACTCCCCTTTCTATCCCTGTCTTTCTGTATCCATTCATACAATGCACTGTTTCTGTGCAGCAAACCTGTTGCTCAGATCAGACGGGCACTTAATCAGGTATTTTAGGGCAGCCCTAAAGCATACTGGAACAGTGATGGTCTGCTGCAGACTAGAGGAAGAACAGCAAGTCCTCAAAGAATTGGTGCTTATTTATGGATGCATGGATAAATGCAAAAGACTCATATTACACACGTTAAACTTAAGCATATGAGTTTCAGAATAAACTAGCATCAACCAACACAACCCATATATATCTATTGTCTTCCCGTTGCTATTAATTTGTGTCTATCAGCTGCACCCTTATCAAAAAGGAAAGCCACAGAGAGCCAGGCTGCACCCTGAGAGAATAATGCACTTTAGCACCCTCTACCTACAACTTAACATTTTACAGTCAGTGCTGAAAGTATCTCCACACTATGATCAGAACACTAGTACTTGACACATAGCCCTTTTTAATCCTAGGTTCGGCAAAGCGTACTCTTCCTCGATCTCTCATTCCCCGCAGGTGTGTGCAGATGTCGAGTGGCTGTCCACTTTCAGGAGGAGTCTGTTTCCCAGCTGCTCTCCATTGACCCTCTCATTTCTCCGTCTGAGCCTCTTTGCAGGGTCAGTCCCCTCTGTCACAGCTGTTCTCAGGTGTCCCAGAGATGCTTCTCTACCTGCCGGCATTTCACTGCTTCGCGTCCACCTGGTCCTTACTGAGATGGGAACCAAGGACGTGCTGTCATCCCCTTAAGGTGTGTCACACACAAGTATAAACAGACAAGGTTGTACGCACAGTTTGTTACACAGCTTTTGAGCCTTAGAGTGAATTTAAATTATCTAAAGAATAGTATTGCATTGAAATAATACTGAATTAGTTTCATCTTTATCTGCTGCCATTATCTGTAGACACCAGATTTTAAAGGTTGAAAGGTCCACTTTAGTTTGATTGTTCAAGTGTTGAACAAAGTACAAATACCTCAAAATTGTACTTAAGTATACAGTACAGTATTTAAGTAAATAACGTACTACTTTCCACCACTGTATGGTATGCATCTTACCACTTACCTATTAGGACACCCCCTAATGAATAAAGGTAAGCTGTACATTACAAACCTGGTTCCAATTAATATATGAATATTGGGTGCTAAATATCAACTGTCCACAAAGAAAAAAAAACACTTGCAGCTCGTCTTCAGTTTGACAAGTTTTTAGATATTTGGTTTTAAAATTCATGTTTGGATATGACCATGCAGTGGTCACTATACTTATACTATTAGGTTTATTCCTTTATATATACTGTCAATGGTTTATTCCCACAGCTGTAGCCTTGACTGAGCTCTGATACGTTAGAGAACTCTTCCATAGTACTGACAGTCACCTCCTCACTGGACCACATAGAACACAAATTATTACCTGTTTCAGTTATACAGCTTAAGTATGAAAGAATTATTGAAAACCAGTTGGGATCATATGGCCTAGAATTACTTACTTGTCTTTTTCAGTACTTCCCAGCAGTATATAACAGTAATTCTTAATCATGTAATTAATTAAATTATGTGACCCGGATCTGGATATGCCAATAAATGGATGGATTAGTGCATTTGTTTTTGATCAAATCTTAATTTGCGCATTATGAGATGAGCTTCCTAGCTACTGTAGATAGCAGTAGTGACGTGTTTGTTACAAGTGTGATGGTGCTGAAACTCCAGAAACAATCCACTGTTCCAGTAATCCCACAATCATACAAAAAATTATTTCATAACTAACATTACTGTCTACAACAAACAAGAGAAAACATTTCACACTTAAGTTTTAAATAATGTCTGTATGTAGCCATTAATCCATTAGAACACCTTTAGTTAAAAGTATACATGAGTACTGCGTAAATTTAGTTGTTTAACATGGCTGTCGTAGAACACAGTATGAAAAAATAATGTAGAATAAACATTTATCCTTTAATAGTCATTCAGTAACCAGGAGGCACATCATATTCCCATTTACTATGATTTTATTTGTTAGCTGTGTCCAATATACAAGCAAGACACAAGAAAAATGTCACCATAGCAACAAGAAAGTTATCATTCACTCCCTCTCTTGATTCAGTTTCTTTATTCAGTGTATAACTCAATGCTGTCACATATAGCGACTGTGCAAATGGCCTACGTTCCCACATGCTTTAACAACAGCTGTGAGTAAACTGTAGGACAAAAGATTTCATCTGATTTATCTCTAGCTTTTCCCTCAAGCTACTAGTGTGATCATTATTTTGCAACTTCACAGGAATTCATCATTTTCACAGGAAGTTTTCAAGCACATGTAAATTCACAACCACAATGTTCATGATGTCAGTTAGTGTCACATCACTTGTGTACTGTGTTTGTGTTTTACAAGCATCGTGAAACAGAAGCAGAGGCAGCGACGACTTTCCCTGAATCAACCCTCGTTCAGAATGAGAGCGGGCCCTGAACCAACACCACGGGCTTTGGAGCAGGCACCGATGACATCAGTGTTGACCCTAAATAAACTTCACTTTGGCCTTAACTTAAAAGATATATGTATTTAGTGTCTGGATTCATTACCAGCTCTAAACTCACACATCAATCAACATTCACTTATACAGAGTGTAGCTTTTACATAGTAAAACTCAGGTTCATTTGCAATTTCAGCTCATGGTGCGTCTCCTTTCTCAGAACTGCTTTGATGTTTCCAAAGGACATTTGCATAAATGTATAGTGCTGTGTTAACTGTTGAACAATACCCGCCAGGCTCATCATATACCCACACCTTCCTGTAAATGTTTAAGCACATCACAGGGTGTAATGCCAACAAATGCTAAATTACTCGGCACAAAAAACTGTTAAGGCCACACGTCTGTACACATGGAGGATAGAGTACTCAAATGGTCCTGATCCTTACCAGCAATTTGTTAAGTAGTCCTGAGCTGACAAGTGTCTTTTACGAGACAAATGACATCTATGAACCATCGAGATTAAAAAAAAAAAAAAAAGAGAACAGACTGGATGACAAACATGCAAAATTATTTTACCAAAAAAACAACCTAAGTTTATTAAGAGAGAAGAATTAATAGATGAGCTGTGTTGGTGGGTTGTCAACAACGCCAAGCATTTCTCTGTGCATATTCTGATTGGCTAATTATATTACATGATTTGCATTCAGGTTCTCCGTCTCCTCTTTGCTGCATCAGCTCCATGGCAGTGTTACTTGATGTCCATCAAGCAGTGTTCATTCTCTTCCTCAACTGTGTCCAACCACGTGTGGTCAAACTAGTGCTGTTTCCTCCTGAAGGAGCATCCTGAGGAAAGATGGAGAAAAGTTGATGTTATGTGTAGCTTGTGTTGATTGTTAATATAAGGAGTATCTTGTCCATCCTGCTTATATTAGAAATGCCTCTCAGTATAACAACACATTTGTGAATCACAAATTCCCCAAAGCCCAAGGTGACAACTTCAAATGTTTTTTTTTCGTGCAACCATGAGTCCAAAACTCAAAAGCGAGTCACATTACTTTTGGAGAGAGACGATAAAAAAAAAAAGAAGCAGGCGGTGCATCAACAATCGCTAGTGGGAATTAACAGTACAAAGCCAGTCAATAAATCAGGGATGGTGTATAAACTGACTCACTGACAGATATAGCAGAAGAGAAAACTAAAACTCATGTTGCTATCTGCCTTTTCAAAAAGACTGAATCCTCTCCAAACAAGTGTGGTTTAAGTGCCAATAGCTGCAGCTGCACCAATAGTAACTCAGAGCTGAGTGCATTGAGAAGCCTGTGGTTACCACGGCAGCGGCGCTCAGGATAGAGTGGGTAGGACAGTGAGAGCATTGGTAAAAACAAACCTTGACCTTAAGCTCAACCAATTCACCGACATACCGTATACGGTGCCTCATCTTTTTTTCAATGTACTCTGACCGGTGAGGCAAATCCGATTCATGTTTTATCGGAAATAAACGATTAGCTATTCTAAAATTACTTCCTGTTGTACTGACTCAAAAACAACACAATGTCTGAATGAAGAAAGTATTTGTGCTTGTGGTTTATTGTGTAGAAATGGATCGGTTATGATGAATTTCTGTCACAACCACAAGAGTCACTGTATGCCTTAGTTGACACCCTGTTCATGAAGAGTACAATGAGAGGGCAACACAAAGGCAAATATCCTGACATCAGTTAGAAGTGTATACCGTACAGCAAATTCTGCTACCTGGCCCCCTATCTCATTGGAAGACCCCTCGAATTATGTGGTGTGTAATTATGGGACACACCACATAACAGGCTTCTGATAACTGGTTACCCCAAAATCATGAATATATAGTGGACTGGAAACAATATTTTACTTAATTTTATTTTATTAATTAACATACTTGTTGGATGTATGTTTAGGTTTAATTCTGATATCCTTTTTTCCCCCTTCTATTTAATTATTATTATTATTTAATCATTAAATTATTGGGGTTATGACGTATGGTGGTCGGGTTATGATGTACAGTGGTCTGGGGTGGGGGAATTGTGTGTTGTACTGTTCCTTGTTTGGACTCAAAAAGGTTTTGTTTTTTAAAATCCAATCAGGTTTTCTGTGAGTCAGTTTATTGTAATTTGATTAAACACAACGTTATGATATCTGTGTGTGTAGGATATAATCCTCCGACAATTGTTAAAATAACATTTTGACAAAGGGTCGCTCTGCAAGGCTGACTAATGGTGCCCTGTTGATATTGTAATTAAGTGCTAAAATTTCTACAATTTCCAATCACTTAAATTACCAAAAACCAATTAACACAGAGTGAACCTGGGGCTTTTCATGCAGTATTCAATTATAATTTTACATGAACTATTCAATTATCTATTATTAGACCACACAACACTCACACAAGTGACACATCTATTGGTGCATTTTTTTTTTTTTTTTAAAAGGTGTGCCGCTTAATGTATATTTCAGATGAACATGTAGTTGTTCTGTACCTTCTGTAAGGCGAGCTTTCCCTCCTGTCGGCTGGCAGAGGACTGTGGAACAGCCGACACACAGCACTACAGTCTGAGCGTGACTGAACACTGTGGTGATTTTGTAGCAACCTGTGAACACACAAATAAATAAAAACATTGAATGGGACAGCCCTTAAAATGTCATTACACATAATAACCATTGAGCAATACAAATGCACTGTACTGATGTGTCCTTGTAGCCGTTTGTGTAAAAGAGTCACTTTGAAACCCATTTAAACATAGACAGTCACAAGTGTCACTGTATGCCTTATTTGACACCCCAATCACTAGAGGAACAATGAAAGGGCAACACATAAAGGCAAATATTTACATATTATACAAGTACTTTACCCATTACATAAATAATAATAATAATTTATCAGCGATTATGGTGAAAATCCTGCATTTAGACTTTAATTTAAATATCACTTGAGTGTATACTATAATAAAATTTACTCAAATATCAAAAAGTACTGGTTGTATATTTTATTATTGTATATAATTGAAATTAAATACATTTTCCTTACATCAGTCTGAAGTCTCAATGGTAGTACTACTATTAACTAAGTACTTCAATAGGAAGTTGTATTTAGGCACAGTCAGTACTTTCGTGTATTGTTGTGTAAACACACGTTCTGTCTTTATTATCTAGAAATGGCCGTTAACAAACAATCTTACCTGGACATTTGACATCCATAAAGTAAGAATTAGGACACTGTACAAGACGTTTTTTCTTGTGTCTCCTCTTCTCCTCCTCGGGACTCGGGTGCAACAGATCCTTTGCGAGCTGAAAATGACATTACAGACAACAATTTAGCTGAATATTAGTCTACATTTGTTTAAATTTATCTACAGAGTTTTCTAATTACTGCAATAAAATGATAAATTCCACTTCTGGTCACAGGTGCCAACTTTATCACTACATGATTACAGGCAAAGGTCGACATCGCTGTACGGTTTTACAATAAATATGACAAAGGAAAAGTAAAAGTGCTCAAACGAAACGGATAACTATTTTTTGTTGGAGCAATCGCAACCCAAGATATCTTAAAAGTGGAGTTTTTACCCCCAAATAATCCACATGTGACTGCTAGCGAGGAGGGGAGCAGCGTGCTGCTTTTGTCGTACACGTGTTTCGCCATATTGCGTCCCTTTTTCACCTCCTTTACATTTATATTACAGCAACATAAACACGTTGATTCCACCATACACTAAACACTCTTTTATATCGTATTAAACTTTCTCCGTTTTAACACTTTTTAACGACGGATGGCTAATATAAAAACCGTAGTGTTACTTACAGGCATGTCTTCGTGTCTGGACGCTCACCGGAAGATCACATCGGTAACGCACCGGAAACTTCTGGCTGACGGACAAACACACAGCGGAAGTGTCTGTTTGTTTGTTTTTCTGTTTTAAATAAACGTCGTTTTTTGGGGGAATTTGTGTTTGTTCAACTACCTGAAATTAAAAAATAATTGGTAGTTTTTTTTTCTTTTTTTTATATATATAATTCATTTTTTTAAGTTAATTTTATTTTATTTTTGTAGAGTTCAACTCATTTAACTGATCAAGAGCATTAGTTAGTTACTTGTCCGGACATAACTTAGTATTTCAACAATAAAAATGTAAATTATTCCAATTCCCAACATTAATTTGAGGGTTTTATTGTTTTTTATTATTTCTTTTTGCCGACAGAGCGTCGTGTTTGATGTCCGCCATCTTGTCTGCAGCCAGGTTCAATATCTTTGAATTTTTATTTAATTGTTAAATACACAATAACAAACATACACGTAGAAAATACATTAAATAAACATAAAAGTAAATGGGGGATTTATAGAAATAATAACGTATAGAAACATAAAAAATACACAGTAAATCTTAATCTCCAGGAAGTAAAATATAACTATGAGGAGCAAGAATAAATAAATAAATCCCAAATAAAAAAATGTCCCCACAAATCTTTTGTTATAATTTACTGGAATACATTTTTTTTTAGAGACAATAAAAGGGATTCAAAGCCATTTTAGAAATACACAAAAGAGGGCTTGTTATTCCTCCATTTGCTACTGTGGATATGACATTTACCTATAAGAATGATCCTATTAATGGTGTCAGAAACAGATTTATAGATAATTTAAATTGTCCATATTAAAGAAAAAGAAAGGACATGGCATGAGAAAAACACGTGCTGTAAAGTTTCATCAGTCATATTACAAGTTTAAACCTTTAAAGAAATTCTGCAACCGGGTAAATCTTATGAATTATTTTTAAATTCTTTGACCTTAGGGAAAATCATAAACCTTTGTTAAGGTCTCCCCGCAGGTGTGTTACAGTTATTCATTTTCTGATCAAATGGCGCCATCCTGTGTCCACGCTGGGAGCCTGCAGGTGTTGAGCCGGTCGCTCCCATGAAGCACTCCCACACTACGTAGCCTTTCAACGGATCTGGGATCTGGGCCGAGGGCCAGACTTTTTCTTTTTTTTTTTTGAAGGAGAAAAAACACGTAGCCACCCCGGTACGTTTGTAAACGGAGTGATATGGACTCTTGGAAGGGAACATGAATCTCGAATAGATGTGTTGATGAAGAGTGATCTGCAGTAGACTTTGGATGGAGTGTGTGTTTCTTTCTGCAGCGCACAAACACAGCACAGAGGCACTGAGGGGGATCGGAATTTACCGGTGACAAGACTGAGAGGAGGAGGAAAAAAAGGGAAAAAGAGGAGTTACATGGAGAAACTTTTTTTAATTTTTTTTAACCCCGCTTCAATCACAATCAACATCTGAAGACTGAAGTCGATGAGAAGTACTTCCAGAAAGAGACAACCCAGACTTTTCCCCCCTTTTCGAGTGGTGCTTTAAACTTTTGAAGAACAGCTCCGACCATGGCGAAAAAGTATGATTTCCTTTTCAAGCTGTTACTCATCGGGGACAGCGGAGTTGGCAAAACATGTCTGATCATTCGTTTCGCCGAGGACAATTTCAACTCCACTTACATTTCTACCATCGGTACGTTGTCAACAGTGAAATGTTTTGTCTTCTAAACCTGCGAAATGTCCGCACCAGCTTATGGTCGCCCCCCCCTCTCTGAAACTTTGGGACATGATTGCTGAATGCTGACAGTTCATTCTTCCTCTATTTGATGCCCAGCCACTGTACGAACTGGTTTCTCACTTCTCAGACTGCTTTCATGTCTGAACTAGTCTCCCTTTTATTTTCTCACCCTCATCTCCCTTCTTTATTTTTTTTTTCTTTTCTGATTTTTCCTCCTGTTGAACGTGTCTCTTCCCTGACCCTCTCCCCCACATCTCTCCCTCAGATCTCATTCCTCTCACTTGGCTCACAGAAGGTCCACCCACCCTCATTCCTATCTCTTTTACCATCTCTACGTTCCCAGAAGAATGGTTGGCTTTCTGGCATGCACATTTTTATTTTTTTTTTTCACAGGACAACCCCCCCTCCTCTCCTCTTCTTCTGCCTCTCCACTGTCTGTCTGTCTGTCAGCTTGTCCATCCAGCAGGAAAAAAACTCAAAGACAGTGTGTGTGCTGCATGGCTGGGGAGTGCACTGAGGGGGTCAAAATCACAGTGGGAATGACCATGAATCAGTCTCCACCCATGAGGGTGACCTATATACTGTGCAGTGTGTGTGTGTGCCTGGGCGGGTGTGTTTTTAGTTCATATCTGAGGTATTTAACTCATTCTCTACCCCCCCACCACCCCCC